TACAATTTATCAATATTTCTATATTTTTAAACACCCCTACCTATTAGTACTTACATTACACTAAAATAGATTAGAATAAGATGTAGACAGTATATGTTTTACTGAATAAAACACCATGTTCTTTAAGATGCCAGGCTTGTAGACAGTGAAAGTCCATAGTCTGCCACAGGAGCAGCTGCAGACAGATGGTGGCTCTCAGAGGCAGACAGTCGCTACATCTGCTGCTTCACTCTGAGCTGTGTGTTTTTTCTTTAGCTCAAAGACACAAAGACGCTCTCTTTCTGCAGCCCAAGTGATAAACAGAGCACTATTCACACATAACATGCAGCCAATTGTGTCCCTATAATACTCAAGAAGTGCACTTTTTCATGTATTGAATTAGATTACAGAGATTCATCACTCAACCTCTTCTGCTATAGTAATTTATGTCTTCAACCCTGGACCTTAGGTAGGCAGGACCTGGAGAACTGGCAAGATAAGAGATGACAGCAATTTGAGCTGGAAGAGCTGGAGGAACACAGGAAGTTCCTCAAAACAAAATTATTCTTTCCAATCTTTACTTAAAACCAGGTTATATGTAACTTCAGGTGTCCATGGAGATGTCACCGCTTTGTCTGAAATGTATGGCAATAAACTTCTATATTTCCATTGAAACAAGCAGTACATACTAAAGGATATTCCAACTAACTTTTTACACCAGGTGCCCAAAAAAAACAACAAAAAGAGCTGAGTGGCTTGTCTATGTTCGATGCACTGGAAGGGTATAAGCATGAACAATATGGCAACACCTCAGAACAGATCAAATAAGGACCCATCACAACACAGACACATGTAAAGAGACAAGTGTGGGAGCGTAAAGCCTTACTCAGATTTTTTTCCAGAATCCTGATGTGAAAACAAACCCTGCAGATAACAGGAGGACAGTGGATGTGATAGTGTTCTTTCTCAAGCTCTTATCGTGTTGGTACAGTTGGTCAGGATGCTCCAGAGCGGTCGGGATACAGCTGATAGTGGAATCTCTACTACACCTTAACAACAAAAACATTGGACCATCAAGCATCTGAGGCAACCACAAGACTGTTCACTTTTTCCACAGGCCCCTCTTCCTCCCCCACCTCCTCCTCCTCCTGCTGCTGCTGGTGTTTCTCTTCTTCTTTTTGGAAACCACATCATTCGAGTACAGTGCATCAGAGCTCTAACCCCAGGCCCTCTCTTCAGTAGATTTACAGGCCTATCAAAGCTAGAACACATTTGGTTTGCTACTGTTTACATCCGGCTGTGTATAGCAAACTCTCTGCTTTGACTATTACCTCCATAAATACTGACATATCATCTGCTTCTATATTTTCTTACATGTTTATTTATGTATTTTCAAGGTGATAGTAATGATTACTTTTGACTGGTGTCCAAGTACTATTTGTGCAATTACAAGTAATAAGGTCATAGTTATTACTTAGTTAGAAATATGGGTCAAAAATTTTTCTGATTTGAAGATGAGAAGTTTCTTATAGCAAAACTACATTCTTCATAATAGTGTATTTTTAATTAGGGCTCAAGTAAATGTACTTTTCCTGTGCGTCATCTTTTAAATATGGGACAAAATTCCAACAAGAAAACCAGGATTGGATCCACAAGACAAGATTTTGGCAAAAATGTATAATATATAATGTGCAATTTAGTATGCAATTATGACAACAAAGTTTTGCTGTCATTGTACACAGCATTGTTTTGTGGAACTACAGCTTCTCAAAAGGTGTAACTCAACAAAGTTAACCCCTTTTTTGTCCAATTCAGATGTAAACAAATGGTGGAAAATCTCACAAGATCATCATACACATGAGCATGATCTAATTATCTCGCGAGATCCTGTGGAACGAGATCTTGTCCCATCCCTACTTCTAACTTTCGGCCTTGAACCAACAGAAACTCTTATACAAACACCATGTTTAAATCTCCATGTGCATAAGAAAACCGCATGAGCGCATTCTTGGGATCAGAAGCACCAGATGTACATATTAGCTATGTGGGCGGGGCTTTTCATGATTGACACTTCACCTGTAGCACCTGGATGGGCCTGTAGGGAGTGTGTGTGTGAGGGGCAGGCTGCAGCACGTCCTTGGCACTGTTGTTGTCTGTGAGAGAGCATACGGAGATTACACAACACTGACGAAAACCACTAAACACTCACTACACAAGCATTGGGTCGGACTTCGCCTCACATTCCCAAGGACTTAATCTTACAGTAAAGATTATGTTAGGACAATCAGTGTGCAGTTACTAAGGCAAGGAATAGGTATAAGAAGCCATTATATGAACAAGCATACAAAGAAGTCAAAACTGCTATGTACTGAATTACTAATAACACTATTGTTTCATGCATATATGATCAGATACCCGTTTGAACTAGAGTTGTCACGGTGCAAAATTAATGTTGATCCTATGGAAAAGGTTTGATACTAATAACACTTTTTACACTAAAATAATCTAAATCCAAGTGTTACCAAATGGTCTTAAACAGATTCTGATATCAAGGCCATGCTAAAATTACTATGGCACAGGTCATTTTTTGACCAGTTTGATGGCTCTTCTGTGGATGGTCTTATGTAGTATAAGCCTGACACCCATTGTTACAATTACAGAAACTACTATTATTCTGTATTGAAAGCTACCCCATAGACTGTGTACAATTATGGTAAAGAAGACTGGAATTTACTGTATTGGGAGCATTTTGTTAGTATTGTATATAGAATGTATATAGATATAAAATATTAAAATATTAAATTAAGTATCAATCTTCTGACAAAACACAAATAAACCACCACTTTACACATCTCCATCCATTACCATAAAAGACACACAATACAAGTAAAGTAAAAATGGCATAACCCTGATTGTTTTTTGAGGTCGCTGGCCTATTTACTTACACTGCACTCTTTTCCACTGGATGCCACAAATAAACTCCGAGGCATTTCAGTCTGTTTCTTGGACGGCTACAACAATAACAATCTGCTGCTATATTTTTCTGCCTCTCTTCCTGTGCTGTAGCTGGAGCACTTGACCAAAATTACAGGTATGTGTGGCCCACATTGTAATCAAATGGCCTTTAGGACTGGACCGGCCACTGCTCCACAAACAATAGGCACTTTTCTTTTTACAGACAGCCCACTATTATGTCGTAAACACCTACTATAAATCTACCTTTTTGGCTTATGACAAAATAAGGTATCACAACCTGGGAATTTTAGACTTAAATATAATAATAACATGTTTTAAATAGGCAGACGAACTCAACATAAACTGGAGTATTTACTAGCATAGAAACAGACTGTTGCTTGTGTCCAACTCCTATGTTGATGATCCCTGCAATAAAAATGGCTTTCTGCATGTCAGTTTTAATACCATATAGGTCTTTGTGGTTTAGTGAATAACATGAAGTCGCTTACGTTTTTTCCGTCACTTTGCAAGTATTTTTTAAAACTGGTAAAACATGTATTTTCTGATCGTCTGCACTGGCTCTCTGTGAAGCAAAAGTCTATAAACATTCATGCTACTGTACAACTTGTATCTCTTGCTCCCTAAACTGTCCCACATTGCTTTAAAAACTTGTAGTGTACTTCCCGAGCCACTAGCTCTGGCACCATATAATTTTCACAGCATGCCTGTAGCTTATAAAGACAGCCAGATGTGTACTTGAGTGTGTGCGAGTGTAGGGATACGCCTCCTACAGCTATGCTATATTTACCCTTTACAAAACTCTCCCCATTTTTACAGTAACGCAGTGCAAGTCCGGAGCTGCATGTCCAAACACATCTTAACAAACATGTACGCACAACATGGAGCCAGGGTGTGATTGGGACAAACAAGTCAGCAACAAAGTGGGAATGTACTCTAATGTCACCAGTATTGGAGAAAAGGTCATGGTGGAACTGTCTAAAGAACTGTGTTTTGGACTATAGTGAAAAGACATGACATAAACCAGTGTTTCTCAATATGCACTATAGGACCCATGAGGGTACTGAAGCAGGAACCCCTAGGTACTGAAGGATACTTGTAATGGTTTCATATTAAAAAAGATGACACAGAAAAATATTTAATAATAATATTTTTCTATCATTTCTTGCAATAAAATTTGCATCCTTGAGAAAGTTTTGGAGTATTTTGGACATCAGGGTCATTAAAACAAGAAAATATAATAGAAATAATTGATGCTATATTATTAAATATGTTAGATACCAGTTAATATGCACTGTCAATATCAAATCAATACATAAACACAACAAATAGGCCATATAACATTGCAGTAATGTAGTAACTTGGCTATATGGTAATGCAATCCATACAATTAAAACCAACTAAATAAAGTTGAAAAGAGTTTAATTTATAAACTTAATTTAGGGAAAATGTAACATATTTTAAGGACATTATAACCACATTATATAACATTTATGTTTTACTAAATTCTAAGTCAAATAATTTGTAATATAAAGGACGCATACGCCTCATCCCACTGTATAATCTCCCCTATACCCTCAATGGTTAAACAGTGAAGGGAAGGCAAGTGTGCCCAGTCACAGCTACTATGAAGTTTCAAATACTTTGTACAAGTTATCTAATTTGAAGTTCAACAGCAAGCATGAGACAGCTCTCTGAAGATATGTCTAAATCAATGTATTCTTAAACAACTATGCACTCTTTTTGGAGGAATTCTATAGAAAATGTTTCTATTACTCCATAAGTAATACATAAGCACCAGCAGCAGACTGTTTTGAATCATGTTTTATGTGCTGCTGCAGGAGGGGGTGGGGGCTTGGCATTAAAATATTTGGGATCCCCTGACTGCCCTACGTGGCCAAGGCATTTGGCCTACATTGAGCTCTGCTCATTGAGACTAATAGGAAACTTTTCCATGTGAATCAAAATGTCTGACTATGAACTAGTGTATGCTTCAAACTGCACCGTTACATTGACTTCTGAAGACAGAGGCGTAGCTCATAACTCACCCAGGTCTATAGCGCTACATGCCGAGCTCTGTTTCTTCTTGCTGGAAAAAAGTTTTACTCGATGGGTGAGGCTCAAAGAAGACCGTTAATCCTCATAAAATCTCGGGCTTGGCGTCAAATGTGTTCACCATGGAGAATAAGAGAAACAGGCTATTTCACTTACACTAAGCTATAAGGTCAAAATCGTCAATCCTCAACAAAAACGTTGCAGAACTGTCGCGGGCTCAAACTTTCCGCAGAAACATTTTTCCAGGTTTAATCGTGCAGTTGAACATAGACGCACGAAACTCCAAAAACAGACAGTGGCGCAAGATTTGTCCAACTTTACCGTGGACGCGAACGTCTTCTCTTGACTGGACTGTGCGAGATGTTTATAGTAGTCCAATGGAAGAGACAGGGCAGAGCAGAGGAGCGTTTCTGCTGCGTTCAAGGACTACGAGAGGTGTAGGGATCATGCGTTTACACACAATGTCCCAAGAGGCGTGGACAAGAACGTGGTTAGGCACTGGGGTGGCACACTTGTCAGGCAAGTCCAGATTCTGTAGTGGAGATGTACATATTCTGATTCCCAGGTAAATTCAATGCCCTACAATTTATCTGATAAAAATGCGTCAATATGCAATTGTGCAAATGAATATTTGAATTAGATATATTTGTCTATAAAATCATTATATTAGCCTAAAAAGTACGTATTGAGGATTACCGTTTACCTGAGTTACATAAGATTTCTTGTCGATAATGACAAGTACTAGGTTATTATTACAATTTTGCAGTGATTACAACTACGCCTGCTTCTGCAGTCTGCTCTATAGGCCCACATCTTCTAGCTTAAACGGGTTAATTTAGGCCATTCCTTTATCATAAAATGCATTTTAGTTATTTGGAAATATTTGAACAAATTTTAAATCTAATCCTTAAATTTAATCTAATGTACTCTGCAGTGTAATGCGCACAAACCCCAAAGTCTGTATAGTCTGTGAAAGCGCCACAGCTCCAGATGCCCCGCCCCTGTGTTCACCTAACCCCGCCCCTCGGCTCTGACATCACAACGCAGGAATGTGTGGAATGCGGCTCCCGGGAGAAGTCCTCTTGGTTTAATGGTTTTGTAGGGGCCACGGAGGTGACTAAACGCAGAACAAAGGAGGACCCTCACGCATTTATGTCCCCCCTCCGTCTTGGCTTTGTGTCCGTGTGTGAGTTACAACCACCGCGGGATTATTTATTTGCATAAACTACATTTTTACAGCGTGGAGGCGTTAGATATATGCAGCCAATTAGTCATGCTCATCTTACGTGGGTTAACACACATTAAATATGTAGAGTACATCTAACCGGTCACATACAATTTCATCTTTGGACCACTTTCAAATGTGTAAACTTCAAATATAACCTATATAGGAATAAGAGACCATAAAATTATCCAATCCAGCACTAGGCCTATTGATTAACTATCCAAGACGAGGCATCTTGGAAAAACCCTGGAAAGCATCCTCACCCCCCAAAACATGGGGATTCCTTCTAATAATAAATAGGTCTAATGACAGAACAGCACAGATTCTCCAAGCCTTGCAAAATAGCAGCCTCTGGTGGATAGTATGTCAATTACAGGTCAATTTCATTATAATAATTCTCTGCTTCTACGTCTAAAACTATACAATAACTTCACACCGAAACAGCCCGTTCCTGTTCGCCCTTCAGAAGGCATATATGTGTTATTTTCTCCGAATGGGCAGTGCAAATACATTTATTTTTGATTATTTATTTTATTTATCACATTTTAATGCAATTTTTTAAGATGGAACAATTAAAACTCAAGTAAATAGACAAATATGCACGTTTTATTTACAAAGCCTCCTCATCGTAATAAAATGCAGATGTGAAATGGAGATATTGGTGTTGGAATGAGCGTTAATATTTTGACTTTTTTTCATGAGCTGTAGTATAGCTGTAGGTGCCCTTCCTCTGAGCTTCAGTAGGAGGCGCAGTGGGAGTGGAAACTGATGGTCAATGTGAGCACAGGTCTGACCAAGAGCAGCAGACCAAATATGTATGTGTATGCAGTCAGCTGACACAACAGTGCACTTGGCTGTAAAGGCCAGACATAAACTAACAACTTAAGTGCTTCCAAGTGCATGGACTCACTGATCAGTGGTCGAACATGTGACCATCTCTGACATGTTTTTTCTATGTATGACGTGGGTTGTCTTTTTATACTGCATTGTATTTATTGTGTTTTGTCTAAAACTCTAATAAGGAGGGACATTGAGAGTTCACCTCAGCTAAAAATGTTGTAGCCTACATGTGGCATCACCTCATAAAATATTGTCATCTAATTAATGAAATAAACCTAAAAGTTTTACATCTAACTATAGACCGAACAGTATTTGTATCTGAAATAGAATTAAAAATAAATAAATAAATGAGAGCTTTTGCCTACCTTTCAAAAAAATAAAAAATAAAATAAAAAATCCTTTTAAAGAGTCAGGTAGGGCTATTGCTTTCCAGAGGCAAATAAAACTGTTCGGTTAGAGGAAATCCAAATAAATATTGTGCATTTGCAACATTTATGGTTCAAAAGAGTTAAAAGACTGTTGACATGACATTTCAGTTTTCTTTTAAAACACATTTTTAACTGTTCTGGGTTAAGTTAAAGTTGTTTTCCGGGTCATATATAAGGCCTAACCTTTTTCTCTCCTACAAACACTGGTCCAGGGTCATAGCCTGGTGAATCACAAAACGCATTTGCCCACACATAGAAATTTCCCACCTACAAAATCAATTCACAAACACCGATCTAGCGAGGCCAAAGAAATGCTGTTTACGACATTTCATTGAGTGTAAAAAACATATTTTCTTTAAAGTTGCTTATATGATGGATAAACATATGCCCAACAGGCCATCCCCAACAGGTGAAAAAGCCCCAATCCCCTGACCCATAACAAAGGCTACTAATGAGCTCCGAATGCACACGAGGCTGTAATTGGTTTGTGTGAGGTTACAGGTACAGTGAGTCAGTGCTTATTACAGACTGCCCCAAGAGACACCATAATAGCCTCACACCATTGCTCTGGGACAAAATAATTGGACCTCATTGTATCAATCGTAGGGGAAATTGGAGAGAAAATATAGTGCCCCAAATTAAGTCATAAAGAACCACAAGCACATAGTGAGTCATCAGCGCTAGAACTACTTCCTATATACAGTAAATAAACTGGGAATACCTGAATAATATGGCAAAGGTGCCTGATCTGTATGTATATCATCGTATATTTATTTATGTTTTAGTGTAGGGACAGTTCTGATGTTTCTACATCACAGGATCTCACTGGGGCCTCTACACTAAATTAAAGCGACCTTGAGGAGGATATGCATCAGGAACGGCAGGCTGTTAAAGATCCTATATTATGCAAAGTTGACTCCTGTGAGCTTTTAGTCATGTTATGCTGTTACCTCCTCAAAAACATTCCCTTTAATTGTGTTTTGTTTCATTCACACAGAATTATTAGCCAGTCTACATCTCCAAAGCTCAGAATGCTCTGTTCCACCTTGTCATGAAGTGGTTTTCAAGTTAACAGCTACCTTTTACCTTTTGTTCAGTAGAGTTTGGACATCCCAGGGCTGAAATTATCTAGGTATGTCTAGTGAAGGTGTATGGAGTTTAAAAACACAGTGGAGGACTTTCTGTATTACAATGACTCTCAAACAGAAAACATGGTTTGAGAGAAGAACTTAGCCTTAAATATGCATAGGTTTGTGTGCTAAACATATGCGAATGAAACAATAAATTAAATATTTTTCTATTCAGTACCATCAACGATCTAGGCTTCTTCACATTTTACTGAAAACTGGGTAGGTTTAAAAAAGACGTGTAAAAAAAGATTGTAAGAACAGCGTGACAGAGTGCATGGAGTGAGTTTAGAGAGCATTGTATTATTAAAGAGACTGAGACATCAGGAGACATCAGGAGCATCTCAGTCAATTCAATCAGCATCCAAAATGTCAGAGGGACAAAAGAGGCACGTGTGAACAAGGGAGGGAGCAGCAGGATTCTAGATGGTGACCTCTTTTAAATACAAGTCACAAATGGATGAACCAGGAAGAGGAGAAAAGAGGGAGAAAACTACGTAAGAATCTCACTGTTTTTGGAAATCAGTTGGTGTTTTTGTGAAAGATAGAGCTACTGTATACAGTCTCCAGACACAGACAGTAGGGTTTGGAAAGGATCTTACAAATGTATTATGTTAACTAAAAATAATAATAATTGCATTTGTGTGGCTAAAACTCACTTCACCGATTTGTAACTCCACACATTATGATGAAACTTGTATGAATCAGTCACAATATTTTGTGTACAACAACAGCACTGGTTTGTAATTTTCATCTAAAAATAAGAATATTTTTAATTAGATTTACAAATTCTCTTAATGACAAAGACTATTCTAAAACTATCCAAGAAAGGACCAGTGTTGTCAATATATATTGCAAAGGGGAGCATCTAGTTTTGTTATTGATTAATATGTAGGCATCGTTACCTTTGTCAACACTACTCATATTAAAAAGGAGAGTCTATCTGTTGATCTCTGTAGCTTAAAGGTTTTATATTACAGAACATTGAGTCTTGTGAGCTTTAAGCCATGTTATAATGCTTTTACCTCCTCAAAAACATACCCGGAGTTGTGTTTTGTTTCATGCACACTGTTGAGTAACCCTTTATTAATAGTCTGTCTACATCTCTGTAACTCAAAATGCTCTGTTCCACCTTGTGATGTCATGTAGTTTTCAAGTCAACAGCTACCTTTTACCTTTAGTGCAGTAGAGATCGGCATTTCCAAGACTGAAATCTTCCAAATGATTCTAGTGAAGGTGTATGGAGTTTAAAAACACAGTGGAGCACCTCTGTCACTACATGATATCACAAGGTGGAACAGAGTGTTTTCAGTTGAAAAAAGAACTAAATATGCCGGACTTGTGTGTTAAACATGTGTGAATGAAACAAAACACAACTCCAGGTATATTTTTGATGAGGAAACAACATTATAATAGATCGATAGGTCCGAAATTAGAATAATATTGGCCCTTTAATTGTGTCCAAAAAATAAATCATGCAATAATGGTAATACAAAATACTGAAACATTTTTGTTGACGTTAAGAAATATTGTTAGGCTCTTTACGTCAGATGACCTCATGCCTGAAAAGACTGGTTGTGTGCATGCCCCCCCCACACACACACACACACACACACTTTCCTCTTTACACCATGCACCATGTGTACCTCATAATAACACCAAAATAGACCAAAATGGACAAGTTCACTGTTTGCACACCAGCTGGTTAAATGGCATCGCTTTTTTATTTGCTGGTGATTCACACATTTGAATGTGAAAGCAACATAAACAGAAGCAATAAATGTCAT